CTATACTACCATAGATAGTAGCAATTCTCCAACTACCATTGTTATTGATATCTATCTCCCCAATAATGAATTGGTTTGAAGACTCCAAAATAGTGAAATTAGCCACATCTGACTTCCAAATAATCAGGATTCCACCGGATAGCCCAACTGATGGAACTTGAAAAAAATTCCAACTAGTTCCTATTAACAAATCCACATCTCTTCTATTAAACAAAGTAACTTTAGTTTCCAACAACCCCATAAAAAAACTCCATATTCTTTTACAACCTCCTTCAAATAGAGGGAAGCTCTCCTCTTCCTAGCTCCCCTGTAATTTCAAAATCCAATGGATGACATTATTGCAAAATAGGGGATGGCTTCCCTACTTTTTCTTTTTGTTCTCCCTCCAATCTTCTATTCCTTGGATTCAATTTTATAGGACCTAAACCTTTAAGTTGCTTAGATCCTTTCTTTTTAGAGTTTAAATCTTTTACCTCATCTCCCTTATCTTCATTGTCACAACCCTCCAAGCGATTGCTTTGATTCATGGAGATGATGTTTCCATAATCATTTGAAGCATTTTCAATAACAGGTGCCACAAATTCACCTTCTTCAATCACATCATTTAACAAATTAAATTTGTTACTGTCAACAGGTATAGTTGGGAGAAAAGATTCCATACTAGAGCAATCAACTTCTACTCCATGTTGTGAACCAGAATCTGATGCCTCCCAATTTATCTACCTTTTCTTCCACAGTTTCCAAAGCCTCATTCAATTCCGGAGCTTGCCTTCTGTGGTCATCAACAATTGCTTTCTCCACTTTTCTATACATCACATTGTTCTTCTAAATCCTTTTATCAATTTTGATTTGCAAAATCGAATTATTCTGAGAACTGACTTTAGAATTAGCCCCTAGATTCTTGAACTTGTTTCTCCTAAAGTTGACATGGATCCAAGGTCCGTAACCATCCTCATAAGGAATTTTTCTTGATCCTTGCCTTTATCCTGAGCTGGATCTAAATTACTAATCACATTGTTGTTTTGAACATGATGAAATTCCTTCACTATTTTTTCTGGACATTGTTCTTTCAAATGCCCAATTTTTCCACAGCAAAAGCAAAAGTTAGGGATATTTTCATATTCAATCCTTTGAAAGAATTTTCCTGAAGATCCTTCAACCCAAACTCCCAAGGGAAGCTTTGTACCCAAGTTTATGCGGACACAAACCCTGGCAAATTCTCTTCTGCTCCATTGGAATGAATTCCCATCTATCATGTTTGGCTTCCCAATCATTCAGGCTATCCTACACATGTTGATTTCATCCTAGCAATGAAGAGGAGGTTTGGCATTCTAGTCCAAATCGGAGATGTGAGACCTTTCAAGGAAGCAGGGGAGAAGGATGGTGACCACTTGTTCATGCCTATTATGTTATTTTTAACATACCAAGGCCCGCTGGATAAAACTACTTCCAATGCTTCTTGTTCATCAAATGCACACAATACCCATCCCAAAAAAAGTATTATTAAGTTAAATTTCCCAAACTGTTCCCATTGCCTCCTCAGCTCTGAGCAAATCAGTTGGAAAGGAATGTTTCGACCGAATACCTTGATAACCAGTGAATTCTAAAGTTTTAATAAATTTTCTCGTTCATTTGCCAAATGAACCTTCACTACCATGTCCTCCCCTGTAAACTCTTTCCCAAAATCTAGGTTTGTGATGTTAATGTTGTTCTTCTTTGTCCAAGCATTTGGAGCCCAATTATTATTGATCTTTGAAGCATTTAACTTCTGTACCATATTCTCATTACAATCATCAAGTTCAACATTTTCACAAACACGAACTTGTTCCAGTTCAACCTTTTTCTTCGCTTCCTGGTTAATACCATCTTTATTTCCCAAGCTCTCATCAAGGATGATCTTCTGACCGTCAACATTGTCTCCCTCAGCCAACCTGGTTTTTTTTAGACATTTCTTCAAATTGGATGTCGATGCTTCCCCATTTACAGTTTTAACCACTACTTTGGATTCAACGGGAGAATCTACTTTTTTGAATAACAAAGGATTATAAAAAATGATACTTTTCCCTTTCCCAATTACCTCCACTATTTTCTTCTGGTTCAAAAGACCACCTTCGTTGATAATCAATGGCTTCCCAGTAAAATGAATTTTCCCAACCAGATTGATTGAACTTGTGCCATCGCCAAACGCGGGTGGAGAAGAAGTAAGGACTTAGCGTGAAGAGATGAACGGAGTCGGATTAGTACGTCGCCCCTCAGAATGACCGCCAACCATGGAAGACGGCCGGCGACCGTCCATCGCCATGAAAAGAGCGAATCAGAATTTGAAAATAAAGCTTTGTTTTTCTCACTAGAATCAGAGTTTCTCTCACTAGCTCTAAGAATGTTCTAGTTGGAATGATGAAAACAAAGCATCTTTTCCCTAACAATCTGAGGGCATGATGGTAACCCACAGCTCAATATTGCTATTTGAATGGCATTCAACCGCTTCAATGCATGCAAAAAATCCAGTGATGAAACTATGAACCCGTGCAAATGTTTTGTTTAAATTAACATAAGTTTTAGAAATGTAAGCTTACAATGCTATTTTCGGGTATGCACGTGATTATGCATGTATGACCTAAGAAAGGCATAAAACAAACCTATGAATAAGTACTTGCAAAATTCCTCACGAAAAAAAAAATAAATCAAACAAAACACCACCTCCTCAAACCTCTCTTTACTTCCCAACCCTCCTCTGGGTCCTCTAATTCCAAACCTAAACTCCCCTTCAGGTGAAATAATTGAACCTTCCCTCCCTACCTCACCTCCATAAGACCCTTCCACTGTTAAAACCAAAAACCAATTTGAAGCTCTTTCAGATAAAGGCAACCCATAACATATTATCTCAACTACCCAAAACCCAAATTCCTCACCGAACCTCTCCAACCCTAACCATAACAGTCCTCCGCAAACCTCACCACGCAACCACCAGCATGTTATTCCAACACACATAGAACAATCCTCCACCTCCACCTCAAACATTATAAAAACCCAACAAAACAAAAGCAAACTAGAGGCAAACAAGCCAAAAAGGTCTCTACCCAACCCACAAATGTAAATGACTCTCCCCAATATTGCAGTTTGGAATGTTCGTGGATTTAACAACCCTGACAAAGTCTTATGCTGCAAACAACTAACCCAAAAGCACAACCTTGATCTTCTCTTCATCCTTGAAGCTAAAATCTCCCTTAGCAACCTCTCCCATCAGTGGTTTCTAGCTAACCACAAAGTTTTCCCTATGGATGCCTCTTGTCACAATTTCCAACATTCTAACCCAGGGCATATCTGGATTAAATGGAATGTAAACATTTTAAACTTCATCCCTGAGATCACTACTAATCAATTAATCCATGGCACCATCGTTATTGCCTCTACCCCTACATGTGCAATTACCACTGTCTATGCTAGTAATTCCCTTTTCGAAAGGCAATTACTTTGGGATAAGATTCAGAAAATTATTGAAAATATTAATCTCCCCTAGGCTATTATTGGAGACTTTAACTGTTACCGCTCTCCTAATGAAAATGCTGGTGGTACTGTGCTCAATAACTACAAACTTGGTGATTTTAACAGCATGATTTTCAACTCGGGTCTGCACGATCTCTCTTATGTGGGGCACTATTTCACTTGGCACAATCAACAACCTGGTAACCCCATTCACATAAAACTTGACCAGGTTTTAATTAATGATTCTTGGTTGCTTTATTACCCGAACTCTTACTACATTGTTGGAGACCCCAATTGCTTAGACCACTCTCCCCTTACTTTGGTTAACACTCAATATGGTATGAAAGGTCACTATTTCATGTACAAGAATTATTGTTCGAAATTTCTAAAATTTTGGGATAGTTTGTTCCATGTTTTCTCCCAACCCAGCACCAGCAACCCCCTTTGCTCTTTCTACTATAATCTTAAGAGCCTCAAAAACCTGATCAAGATAAAAAACATTGGTCCAATTCTAATGCTATCCAGAATGAGATTAACACTCCTAGAATTTTGTAAAACCAAGTTATCTCCCAAATTCAAAGCAACCCACTCGACAGTTCTCTCAATACATAACTCAATAGCATTAACACCAAACTCTCCTATTATCACACCACTCTTATCAGCTGGATGTCACAAAGAGCTAAGGTGAATTGGCACACTCGTGGTGAAGATGACTTGAAATTCTTATACTCAAAAATCAACATTTCCAAAAACCACAACCGTATCAAAGAAATCATTATTGAACATGGCCCATCCACCACTCATCAATACATATATAAGGTTTTCATAAACCACTACTCCAAGCTCTTTAACACCCACAACCCTTCATCCACTAATCACAATTTTCAGGATATCCCCGTTGGGAATCTGATCCCCCCTCACCTACTCTCCATGCTCACGGCCTCGATCACTACTGATCAAATCATGACTATTATTTTTGCTAGCAAAGAAAACTCTGCATCTAGACCTGATGGCTTCCCTTTCGAGTTATACATAACTTCTTGGAATGTCATCAAACATCATCTTTGTAAGGCTATACTATCTTTTTTTTCCACTGGTTATATGCCTAAGAAAGTGAAAGATACTACTATTGCTTTGATTCCAAAGTAACCTGAAGACAACAATGTAAAAGACTTTAGACCCATTTCTTTGTGCAATATCATTCAAAATAAGATTATCTCTGATAACATTCTTATTGTCGCAGAACTACTAGGGAATTTCAATCAAAATACTAAAAATAAGTTCTTCTATGCCAATTTGACATAACAAAAGCTTTTGACACTGTTTCTAGGGATTTCCTTATCAATAGGTTGGTTGTTAAAGGTTTCCCAAAAGTCTTTATATCTTGGATTAAAGCGTGTATTACTGATGTCCATTTCTCTATAAGCATCAAAGGTGTCCTTGAGGGCTATTTCAACTCCACCTCAGGGCTCAAGCAAGGGAGCCCGCTCTCCCCATACCTTTTTACTATCATTATGGATGGCATTTCTACTACCTTGGATCAGGCTACGTCCAACTCCAACTTCACTGGTAAGAGTAATGGTGATTGTACCATCACCCACCTCATGTTTGTTGATAACCTCCTTATCTTTGGGAAAGCCACTACCTCCAATGCTCAAAACCTTAACTCAATTTTGGATAAATTTGCATCTGTTTCGGGTTTACATGTTAATCCTCAGAAAATCAGTATTCTGATCTCTAAGGATGCTCCTAAGGCTTCACAAATTTGTGACTTACTCCAAATCAGCCAATCTCTTCCTCCCATCAAATATCTTGGGTTGTCTATTTTCTACAAAAAATTGAAAGCTATTAATTTCCAACCTCTTATTTAAAAAATTTCTTCCTCTCTTGCTGGTTGGAAAGTGAAAATCCCCTCATTTGTTGATAGGATTCAATTCCTCAAATTCACCATAAGCAACATGTTGGCTTATTGGATTAGAGTTTCTATCTTGCCCAAAGGATGCTGCAAGCTCATTAACCAGTTGTGCTCTAGGTTCCTTTTTTTTGGTGATATTAAGCTGAGGAAACTCCATACTATATCCTAGAAAGACACTTGCATTCCCAAACAAAATGGTGGATTGGGTATTCCATCGATTGGCTGCCTTCAGCACAACTTTGTGTGCTCCATGATATGGAGATATTTAAACAAAAGCAGCCTTCTTTTTGACTAGTGGAGAGTTAAATATTATTCTTTGTGGAATTTGATGCCTATTAAATGCTCTTCTTACTGGAATTACTTATGCAATAAGGCTTTTTTCCATTAAACATTTCCTTACTCTATCTATCCACTCGAGTAGCAACTTGTCTTCTTATGGGACCCTTGGTGCAATGGCACTTCTATGGCGGAATTATTAAATGAAAGGCAGGTGCTTCATGATTTTTCCTATATGTCTAATTGGAAGGTCTCTAAGGTTATTAACGATGACAACTGGACTTTTCCTAACTACTTTGATGTTTCAACTGCTTTTGTTCTATGAGTCATCCATATTAACAGTTCCATGAAAGACCATCTTTGGTTGGGATCCCAGAACCCCAAATATCGCTCTTTTCAAAAAAATTTATACTCTTCCCTTGAAAATGTTTCATGGCACAAGCTGGTTTGGCATAAAAAAACTACTTTAAGGTTCTCGATTTTTTAGGTTGGCTTTAATCAAAAGGAACTAGAGAGAGAAGCTCCGGTTCTGTTCTAGAGAGAGAAACTGTTCTTGGTTGTTTTTGATTTTGCAGTATTTTGCTGTTTGAATCGCGGGGGGAGGATGTCTTCATCCGTTTGCCGGCGGTAGTAATCAGTCCGACGTTATTCGCAATGCAATTCTTAAGCCTCTTGACCAGAGATCTGTCAGCTTTCGTGGTGTTCTTGGAAATCAAGAAAAATCCAGATTTTCTTCTAATCTGGTAATCAGAGAAGGATTTAGGCAAACGGAAAGGATTTAACCAATTGTGGAAGGGAAAGGGAAAGGCATCTCTGTTGATCAGAATGTTGAAGATGAATCTTTTCCAGGTTTTCAATCGAAGAGGGATTTTGAATCGCTTTCGCCAGAGGTTGATCTGAAAGTTAAAAATCGTGAAGGTCCTTGTATGTCGGAAGTTCAGAATCAGAATGTTCAGAATCTGACGGATGTTATTGATAAATATGGAGATAGTTTTGACGAGGGTATTAAATCGAATGGTAATGTGAATCAGGGGAACAAATTTGAATCAGCTTGGAAAAGGATGCAACACATCAAACTGAATTTCGATTCCAATTCTACACAGCTAACGGAAGATGGTGTAGCAGTGAAGTTAAAAACTGATAAGGAATTAACTAACTCTCAGGTTTTGAAGAAATCGTTAGTTATTAAGATTTTGGGATGGAAATTGCCTTTTTCAATTTGTAGTCAAGAACTCATAAGGCAGTGGAGTAGGTATGGTAGTTTCCATCTAACGACTTTGGGTAATAATTGGATTCTATGTTTGTTTGCTAATATGGAATCCATGGAAGAGGTTTTGAATGGGGGTCCTTGGTACATTGGTAACCATATAATAGGTATGGACAGATGGTCGTCTTCTTTCTCTACTGATTCGTTAAAAGGAATCACATCACCAGTGTGGATTCGTTTCCCAGGACTGCCTTTGAGCTGTTGGGATGAGGACAATATTCCTATCATTGCCTCAATGATAGAAACTCCATTAATGCTGGATGGGAACTCATTCAAATGGGGAAAGCGGGAATACGCTAGATGCTGTGTTCGCATTGATTTGGAGAAGAAACTCCCTACTGGTGTTTGGATAGAGGGTATTAACGAAAGTTTGTTTCAACGCGTGGAATATGAAAAGTTAACATCTCTTTGTTATCAATGTGGTAGAGTTGGTCACAGCAAGGATGATTGTCCTGATTCCATTACCGTAGTTGACACTGATATGAGAAATCAGGGCTCTAAAGAAAATGTGAAACAGGTTGATGAAGCGAAGTCTGAGTATGTTAAGAAGAAAGATGAAGAATATGGGTCTTGGATCCATGTTAATTTTAATAGAAGAAGATTCAAAAAATGCCAGGAAAAATATTGGAGTTAATACCATTGTTAAACAGGTTTATAAACTTGTTGTTGCTGTGAAACAGGGGATGGTTGTTGAGAAGATGGAAGAAACTATTAATGAAAATTCTGCAGTCCACGTTGAATCAACAAAGGAGCCTTTTGCAGCTCAAGTTCAGGAAATTCCTGTTGTTGTGAATAAATTCCAAGTTTTGGACTGTGAAATAGAGGAAGGAGAGGTTGTTGAAAGGGTTAATGAGAAGAACTTGAGTAAATCCATTGAGTTGGATTCAGTTGAAGATGTTGTTACTCCTGGTTCGCATAATGCTATTGCTGAACAGAGAGTTGATGAGCAGTCGGTAGCTGTGTTAAACTCTAGGAAATGTAAACTATCAAAAGAACTGAGAAGCTTAGGACCTATGGAAACTAATCAAAGGAAGAGAAGAATGGACAAAGAACATAGCAAAATAGTAGGGGATCATTCAACTATTATTTCTTAAATGGAGTCTATTATATTTTGGAATTGTAGGGGGGGCTAGAAAGAGGGAGGCCTCCTTATATCTTAGAGAAATTGTGAAGGATTATAAGGGTTTCTTTGTGGGGCTTACTGAAACTAAGATTTCTTCTCTTGATAGTAGTGAAGTGAATCAAATCATTGGCAATGATTGGGATTATTTCTTTCATCCCTCAATTGGCAATTCAGGTGGTATTTTAATCTTGTGGAAGAAGGCTTTTGCTTCTTTTGAAATGGTTGATCACTCCTCCCAAGTGGTTATTAGAAAGCTAATCACTAATGCTTTGGGTAAGTGGAATATTGCAACGATATATGGTGGAAGAGATGCTCAAACCCGTAGATCTCTTTGGAGCACACTAGAAAATTATTTGAGTGATGAAGATCCTTTTATAATAGGAGGGGATTTCAATTGTATCCTTTCTAAAGAGGATAAAAGGGATGGAAAGAGATTCTATTTATCTAAGGGCTCCAAAGACTTGAATAATTTTATGATTAATAATGATTTTCATGATATAGGATTTGTGGGTCCTAGCTACACTTGGTGTAATAACAAGAAAGGAAATTCTAGAATTTGGGAGAGGCTTGATAGGTGTCTCTTGAATTCTAAGGCTATTCACAAGGTTTCTTTTGTTAAGGTACATCATTTACCAAGAGTAGCATCAAATCATGCTCCTATTTCTATTAATCTTGTGGAAAATCAGAATCAGAAATCGGGTTTCATTAGATTTGAAGATACATGGAAGACTTATCCAGCTACTTGGAACATTGTTCTGAAAGCTTGGAAGAAGATGGATTACAGTTTGAATGCAGAAATTCTACAGAGAAAGCTGAGGAGAGGTATTAAGGCATTATACTACTGGAATAAGAATAAGTGTCGAGATCTACAATTATTAAGAGATGAGCTGAAAAAAGAAATATTGTTGTTACAAACTGAAGAAGCTAATGAAGGAGGTTTATCGGTGGAAAAATTGAAGATGTTGAGGAACAAAGTGCAAGAACTAAATGTTACATTGAGTAGACTCTCTACTTCGTGGAACCAAAGATCCAAAGTTAGATGGCAGCAGGAAGGAGATGTAAACTCTAATGTTTTTCATCAATTTGCTTCAGCAAAGAGGAATGGAAATATGATTTGGCAGGTCAAAGATGAGAATGGAAGTATGGTAGATGATTTGGAGAATATTGAAACAGTTTTCTACAGATGTTTTCAGCAAAAATGGTCAGCCAGAAGTTGTAAACTGACGGATTGGCCTCCCTGTCCAAAAGTTCTACAAATTTCCAAAGAGGGTGCTGTTATGCTAAATCTGGATTTCACTAAAGAGGAACTTACAAAAGCTATATTCATGCAAGGTAACAATAAATCTCCAGGTTTAGATGGTATTACTTTGTCTTTTTTCAAGTTTTATTGGAAAATTGTTGAGGAGGAAACTTGGAAAGCTATTGATGATTTCTTTAAAACTGGTGTCATGTTTGAGGAATGAAAGGATACTCTTCTTATTCTTATTCCTAAGATTAAGAAGCCTTTGGTACCATCTAACTATAGATCTATTAGCTTATGCTAGTCTACTTATAAATTTGTGGCTACAATGATATTAAATAGAATGAAGGGCTTCATTGCTAACTGTATTACTGAAGAACAAGCTTCTTTTCTTCATGGTAGATCTATTTCTGATCATTGTCTCTTAGCTCAAGAAGTTATCCACAAACTTAGAATGTCTAAAAGGAAGAAGGGGTTAATGGAAGTTAAGCTTGACATGGAACAAGCTTATGATAGTATGAATTGGGAAACTTTATCTAAAGTGTTAAGCATGTTTGGTTTTCCAAGGAAAATGAATTTGCTTATTATGGAATGTGTGAGGAATGTTAGATTCTCCTTTATCATTAATGGGAAAACTTCAAAATGGATATGTGCTGAAAATAGCTTTAGACAAGGTTATCCTTTGTCTCCTTATTTGTATATTTTGTGCTCACAACTTTTCTCCTTTGCAATGAAGCATCAAGGTCAAGGTTTGGGAATTCAGATCTCATAAAGAGCTAACTTGGTCAATCATTTATTGTTTGCTGATGATATTTTGCTTTTCTCTCATGCTTTAAAAGGTATTGCTATTAAGATGAATAATATCATTATGGATTTCTGTTTGTGGACCGGCTTAAGGGTTAATAATGCAAAATCTCAGATTTTATTCAGTAAAGGTATGGATAGAATGGAGATGATAAAGGTGAAGCAAATTCTGCAATTTAAAACCGTTGAAGAATTTCATTATCTTGGAATCAAATTGATGATGAGAAGACCTGTTTACAATGACTTCAAATTCATTGTAGATTATATTATGCTTAAGTTGAACACTTGGGGAAGTAAGTGTCTTTCATTAGCTGGTAAAATGACCCTTGCTAAGACTTCTCTTTTAGGTCTTCCCAATTTCTTCTCAGCACACTCTATGGTTCCTAAAAGAGTACTACATGAAGTTGATAGGTGCTGTAGAAATTTCATATGGCATAAGAGGGATGGTAAAAAGGGTATGCATTATATTGCTTGGAGAATGTTATGTAAGCCTAAATCTCAAGGTGGATTCAGTTTTCCCTCAGCAGTAAGAAGGGCTGGCCCTCTCAAGGCAAGACTTACTTGGAGAGTATTGAAGAATCAGGATTCTTTATTGTTTAAAAATTTAAATGCCAAATATGGAGATAGCTGGTGTCGTGGAGGCTGTAGGCATGGTAAATCGACAACATGGAAAATTCTGAATGAAGGAGCAGTTCACTTAAAACCTATCCTTAGGTGGAGAGTGGTTGATGGAGCTAAAATCAATGTGATTAAGGATATTTGGCTACTTGATAAAAGCTTAAATGAATTGCCTATAACAGCGAATTGTAATGATCTAGATGGGCTTCATTTATGTCATTTTATTACAGATCTTGGCAATTGGAATTTGGAAGAATCGAGAAGATTTTTTAATGAAGAAATTATAGTGCTTATACGGCAGATACCTATCAACAAGGATTTGAATGAAAATTTTCTTGAAGAGATCAACTTTCCTTCAGGGAAATCTATTACAGCCCGTGCTGTTTTTGCATCCAGAAAAGAGAATTATTGTGAAGATAATATGAGTTTTTATAATTGGTTGAGAAAGCTGAAACTTTCTGCTCGAAGTGAGCTCTTCTGGTGGAGGATTAGTAAAAATGTCATTCCTACAAATGAGTTTTTAAAACATAGAAGACTCAGTGATGATGACTGCTGTATAAGAGGATGTATTGAATGTGAAAACCTGGAACATATAACTGTTAAATGTAAGGAATTGATTAAAATTCTTAAACAGTTACAGAGTTGGGGGTTTTATGTTCCAATCTTTGAATCAATGGATGAGTGCTTAGTTGAATTAAAGATCCTCACAACTATTGCACCTAATAGTGTGAGAATTTACTGTGACACGGTTTATCAGAATTGGAAGAACATGAATGCAGTCAAGCATGGAAATTTTGCTACTTCGGTGCTAGTTTCAGCAACTAATGTGCTTTTTTCTGCAATTAACAATGTTAATCCTGTCATTGATAGCTGGGGTGCTAATCTCCCTAGGGAGTTTCAAAATCTTTGGCACCCCTACCGCAAGACTGGATTAAAATCAATGTGGATGCTTCTCTTATGACTTCTTATTTGGCTGGAATAGGGGGATGTTTTAGAGATCATAAAGGAAGATTGTTGTTAGCATTTGGGGAAAAAAAACTCACTGGGATATTGCTCATCTTGAAATGGAAGCTATAATGATTCTTAGAATATTCATTCAACCGTGGATGCTTGAATGTAAAGGAATAATAATCGAAGGAGATAACATCAATGTTATCAACTTCATCAAAAATTCTTTGAAGAAGACCAATTGGCAACGGACAGATCGGATTGAGAAGGATTTTATGTTCTTGACAGACTTCAATAAGGTGATTCTTAATCATGTTCATAGGAATTGTAATAAGGTAGCCGATTGTTGTGCTACTTTAGCTTTAGATACTAATTTTTTCTTTGATAGTTCTTCTTTAGCTAGCATTCCTCCTTCTCTTTGTTTTCTTTTGAATAAGGAATGTGAGCCTTTGCTTTAATTGTATCTTGATTTCCTGCTTAATTGCATATTGCATTTCTCAAAAAAAAAAAAAAAAAAAAGGTTCTCAATTTTTGCTTGCATGACTTTCAAAGGGGGTCTAAAAACTATTGATGTTTTGTCAGCCCGTGGGATCACTACTTGCACTAAATGTTATTTTTTGTCTTAAAGAATTTGAAACTCTATCCCACCTTTTCTTTGAATGCCACTTTTTTTTTTAATATTATCAAGAATTTCCTTCAGTGACTAGGAAATCTCTTTACGAGGCCAAATCTTCATCAAACTTCGATAGTGCTCTAGATCAAGGGCTTTCTGGACTTCATATATGTTACTACCACTATTTTTGATTGCCAAGCCACGGTAACTGCTAAAATTAAACAAGCTTATATGAGGAAGACTACTAATTGGAAGCACTTCAGGAAAGACAATTAACTGCTTCTTTAGTTTTCTCGGTTTGCTGCTTGCCCTCTGTGGCCTGGGTTTATTTTGAAAGGACGATGATGACTGCTGCTTTCACAGCAGCCCCTTGGTTAGTCACATTAGCAACCAAGGGCACAATTCTAGTGTAGTCCCTTTGAGTTTTTTGGCCCTGCACGTTTTTTTTCAACATGAGTTGTCCGAGTCCTTCATTTTTTGATCTTCTAGCTTGTTTTTTCTTTGGTTTATGTTACTTTAGAGTCCTTGGCTACTCTTTTGTTGTTGAGTTCCAAGACTATATATATATTTTTTTAACTCATGTAATTTTCTTTTATCAATGATATGGGCTCTGCCCCAAAATTTCCCAAAAAAAAAGTATTTGCAAAATAAAACTTAAAATTAAGGATAAAACTCTGCAAACATAAAGAGTGCTAAGGTTTGCAAATATAAAATGTTGAATGCATGCGCCATCATTGATGTCTAACCGAAAAGTAGCAAATAATATCATCAAATGATGGATGAACTAGTTGCAGAAAATGGTTGATAAACATCAACAATACTTCAGTTCGTAGATGGCAGTAAAAAATATGGATCAGGTCAGATGTGAAAGAGCTCAATAAAAAATCGAAAAGCATTCCAGGTCCTTGTAGTATCGACTGATTTTCATGTAATTCTTGACCGAAAATGCAAAAATAATTACCCAGCTGAAGTCGTAAAAATGAAACATTATTCCTTTCATTCATCAGTCAAGAACCAAACAAAAAATAAAAGAACCGGATTGGCCGACTTGTGAAAACTCAATTTCTAAACAGATCATTGATTTTCGAAACAGGTTAATATACAAAGATCTGGTTTCAGCTATTAAATTTAAAAACTGTATGTGTTGGGCCGGTCAGTATGGACATTGTTGAACCAAAACAGTAATATCATTGTGTTGCGCAACTCCATGGCTCATATCTCCTCTTCATCAAACGGATCCCTTTCTGGGTAATCACCAACCTGAAAAGAAAAAGAATTAACAATCATTTCCTTCATTCCCAATATTAGTTGAAGCGAATAAAACATGCTTGAAAATATATATAAGAACAAATATCTATATAATGAATGATAAATTAAATTGTTAAAAAAAAATTTAAGAGTGTTCTCTTATTATCATTATCATTATCATTATTTAATTTTATCCTAGCTAATTGGAGAAATATTTCCTCCAAATAATTGAAATTAACTGCAATTAATGTACTTGTCTATTCAATGTTCTAAAGCTCTCTTAAAGAAATAAAAAAAAAATTAAAAATTAAAAAAAATAAAATAAAAAGGCTCTATTAAAGAATATCCTAACACTGAAGAAGTTTATGAGTGAAGTAGCTTAAAAAATCAAGTGGAAATATTTAACAATAAAAGTGCTATATAGCACATTAATACTTCTACTAAATAAAGCATTGTTTATTTTTCAAAAGTTCATGTATAAGGAAAGTATTAAATGACTTTCATTTTCATAATTTTTCTTTGAAATACCTTGTTAAGGGATGTAAAGCTTTGGGTTTAATCCTACATCGATTAGTTCAAAAATACATTAGTCTAGAGAAATCAGAAGGTTGACTCTCACCCATAAGTTTAAAAAATGAATTTGACTATCGGTCTCCCTTTTCATATAAATAATATTATTGTGCAATTCTAAAATTGATAGCCATTAAGTATTAAAATTTTGACGAGTCAAACAGTTTTGGCTTTCACAAAACTAATATTCGTATTTCCAAAGTGCTAAAGCACAATGCAATGCACAAGCATTCATTTTTGCTTCAATTTGGAAAGCATAAGTACAGCAATACTTTTGCTAACTAAAGCATTCATGACTTGTATATCATATCTACACATATTACATGCATACAATAACCATTTAATTAGCCAAACTTAACAAAACAGATAATCATTTTCAACAAATATAATGATACATTTTATAATAATAATTTTCAAATATCTAAAATCCATTAAAAGGAATTAAGCATATAAATAATTAAGTTGTGAAAATACTTAAAAATCAAGAATACCCATGAAATTGGGCACCAAATAGAAGACGAGGTGGAGGCACATGATAAGAGAGAATGTAAACAAGAGAATTAATAAGCATTCATGAGAAGAAAATTATGAGCAAGTAGCATAAGCAGGAAAAACTTCATAGTAGCATATAAGAAAACTAATAGGTGAGAGAGCACGAAGAGTACCACCACCAAAATCTAGCAAGAGAGAACAAAGAATTAATGAGCAATTACTTAATGAGTCAAAAAAACTATGATGATAAGAGAACGTTTTGGCTAATTATATAGGTAGATGTTCAATCCCATCATTAAACTTGAATAAGGATTTTATTTGACCCATATTGGAGCACACAATGCTACGAGGAAATGCAATGAAGCAATGTAACAAACATGCATTGCCACAAGCTTGGCTTCATAGGCACGTGATGAAAAGCGCCAACACATCACTTCGATTCAGTCCTAAAGCATACTGTTAATAACACAAACTAAGATGCATAGTGTTCTTGTCCAAAAAAAACCTAAAAGTACTCACGAGGCATTCAAAGGAGGCAACAACTATGAGTGATGAAGTAAATATAGAGATGAATAGAATGCACATATATCAATCTAGTTGGGTTTGGCAAGCAAGGTTTCGATGAAGCTTTTGGAGGAAATAATCACAGAAGATTTGTTGCTCAAATTAGAATCATATACATGACAAAAAATCTCTCCAAAAAACTTTATCAGAAGCAATGACTATATTTGGATTGCATGAAGGGGCTCTAATCAAGTTACATCAAAATTAATGTAGTTCAACCAATTATGACTTAATGAATATTAATATGATTATTGATGATGACGGTCAAACTTTATTACTACCTATCATGCTCTTTACCTCTCTTATAAACAATTTTGTGACCCCATAGAGTTTGAGACAAAGCAAATGGTGATGACAGTAAATTACCAAAAATAAAATATAAAAAATAAAGCAAATCAAATGACTGGTGGACCCTAACATCTTGTGAACATGCCATACAATGTACAAAAACAATACCACAATTGGAATGTGAAGAGTATTGGAGCAATGCCACCAACAACACATAGTAAAAGTTAGAACTTCTAGCATGTGTACCATATCATATTTTTCTCCACAAACATGTCTAAATATGAGGATTTGTTTAATATGGAATTTCATGCTAGTAAATGCTACATGCAATGAGCAAAGTTCTTAACTAGTATGTGCATAAAGCTCTTACCATTTGTGTTGTATAAGCAAACAAAATGTGCCGTTTGAACTATCTATCAGTGTAAGAAGTCATCTTTTGGTACGCAGAGTTTGCCGAAACAAAAGAAAATTGGCAAGTTTGTGAAGACAAGCAATAACATTGAGTTCAGTGGCCAACATCAGAACTAAGAGATACTCTCACAAAATTATGTGTTAAATTTTGAGATGCAAGAAGGTTAAGGTGCAGGCACAAAATATAAATTGATTTGTTGTGCATAAATTAAAATTTAGGCAGCATTTTACGGTTAGATATTGGTCCTGATAAAGCTTACCTTGACTTTTTCTGGCCTAAGTAAAATGCCATGTTGTGGAAGACATTCAAAGTAACGCTTACCATTAACCCTGCAACATTGTCACAGTGATCAGACAAAAGAAATAGTTAAACCACATGGCAGAAAAATACCAATGGAGAAGCAAGAATGGAGAAATCACCATAGGGCATAAACTTGCTGCCCCATAAATCATGCGGTAAATCTTATTGAAACAAAGTGGAATTAAATCAAACACTTCAATTCATGCCATTTTTTTGTTGAAATGGCATGGTGATATTTAGCCGGTTTGCCACATTACAGGTATAAGCTCCCGTGCAATATCAAACTTAAGGTAGCAAAAGTCATTCAATAACCTGAAAAATACCACATGTAACCCATGTTCACCTTCTCAGGTGTTGTTACATGTAGCAATCAGTCATGAAGATGGCACCCCTCTTAGGAGAATATCCCTCAAGTTATTCTCACGGGGCCAGCAAAGGAACTCGTCTAAGGATCCACTTAAAACTCGTCGCGACGCTTTGAAAAGCGTGCGAGGTCTAAAACGACGTTTTGCGGGTTTTACACTTCTACCAAGGAGCTCATCCTATATTGGGCAACCAAGACGTTCCTGATAGATCACGACTCATCATAATCAGGTCATTCCCTCCAAGATCGCTAAACCTAGCAGGAGGAAAGCGTCTACCTCAAAGAACCCACGCTCCACTCAACCACTACTATCATACTAATACCTCATCCTTTCCAACACGTCTATTCACCTTTCAAGACAAGGCGACCTCGAGACTAGTAGGACAGTCGCCAGGTTGACAGACGACTCGTCAGCTACGGGTTTACCTCCTCTCAGAACTCACCCACTAACTCACCCTATGACTATTTTTCCCTCTCGAGCTCAAGGATAGACAGCTCGTTCGATTGTTTCCTCCACCTCCGTTCAGCCAATAGAGAGGTGACACGTACCCTAGACTAGCGTATAGTTATTGTACGAGTGTTCAATATAGCATGTATTTTTATTTTTTCTCTATATAGCCTTTCATGTGGCCCCAAAAACCCTATAAATATAGAGTAATGGGAAACAGTTGAACTTTTCCCTCTAGAATTTCTATTTGTATTTTATAATTGAGATAGTGTAGATTATGTCAGTTTACTCTCTCCTCTTATTTACTCTCCATTCACACCAACAGGTTCTCAGCTCACTAGATTGATTTGCTAGTAAAGATGAATATCATCTACCAGACAAATTCGGATCCAATTGCTCTTTACTCTTCATTTAAGGATTAACACTATAGGATGACTCCCCCTTTCGCGACAAAATCTGCGAATGAGTAGCATGCGAGTCTCCTATAGACTGCAAGTAGTGGTGATAATCCCTGCAAAGGCCAAGAATTTGGCATAAGACAAAGCCCACCAAAGGTAACTTCGAACAAAGCAATGTGATCACTCTCCTTAAAGTCATAGTCAGCTCACAAATCTCAAAAAATCCACATTTCCTCGTGCTAGAAAGAAGAAGTGATGAGGAAATCCACCGGACATTTCGATGTACTTACCATCGGCGGAATTGTAGATCGACAGCTACGATTCATAGTCTCTATTTATGATGTTTTTAGTGCATTTCTTTTATTTATTTTTTAGCTTTTCCACTTCTACCCCTATGAGGGATTTGTGTCATGTTGTACCCTGAGAGCGTGTCTTTTACATTTTGTTCTTTGGAGTCCTACATATAAATGCCTAATCTTTGTATTATTTTCCAATGATGAATTATGAATGAAATTTCAATTTTATTTGATTGATCTCTTAGTGAGTTCTTGAGAGGAGAGACCCTCAGTGGGTGAAAGCACTACCCGTCAATCTTTGGTGGATTCCAAAGTTCGCGGTTCCATAATCTCTTTCTTTTTCCCCTACTTCAAAACCCCTACCGTAATCCCTCCACCCGCCGACCTCACCATTCTCACCCCTTTCATTCCTCCTACCTATACCTAAACCCATATCCAACCCGCCGCCCCTTCCCTTGGCAGCCCAAGCCGCCGGCCACAAGTCCAGCTGCCGGCCGGCCGGCCCTCCCCCTCTACATGCTCAACCCGCCGGCCCATAATCCCTAGTCCACCAAATTTGAATTTTGAATTTCAAATTTTTCCATAATTACTTTCCTAAATTACCTCCATGCTATTTAGGAAAGAATCCTTGTTGGCAATCAATCTATTTTGAATTTCAAAATCCCTTCCTAGAGAGCTAAACCCCATTTGGAAGTTATTTCAATTTAAATCAAATATAAAATTAAAATCAGATTTGATTACAATCACATTAATTTTTGTAGGCTCCGAAAATTCGGCCCTAGCTTTCGCCCGAAACTGTTGCTTTATTCTTCGGCGATGGAGTTTTAACGGATTATGTTCCGGGGTAAATTTTGGAAGGCACCATAGAAATTTTTCTTCCAGTGGTGTTTGCAATCACCACAAAATTTTTTTTCCAATAACAACTCTTTTTGCAGTAAGGGTCTCAGGTTGGGATAGTCTTTCAAATAAAGAAATTCTTTATTGAGCAGCGCCTCTTACAGTAGTCCTTGCAGAATAGGACCTTCCAAAAAGCTCTTCAGAATTTACACCGTACATAGGGACGGCTGCAGCCCTTGCAGTAGCTAATGAGAATTCAAGTCCACCAAAGTGGATGGTGGCTCCAGTGTTTCCAGTTTCAATGACAACATTTGTCAGTTGAATCATGGCTCCTCGTCCTAGTTTGACAGTCATCGGGGTGTCCTGCATTTCCATGCTGCACAAACGAAAGGCAGGGGTTCGTAATCAAAATTTGATATGTCACCCCACACTTTCATAATACAGAAATTACGCAGAACAAATAACAGAAGCAGGAAAATGAGAATAGAATTAAAACCCTGCTGATTGAATTTTCAATAAATCTTATTTAAAAGATTGATTTTAGAAAATTTAAAATTTTGATCCATATGGATTTGCTTGCTACTATAGCCTATGAATGACTAGCAATAGATGGAAAGAGAAACTAATCCCCAGCGAAGTCGCCAGAAATCTGTGGGCTCCGAAATTCGGCCCCAACCTCCACCCGACACTGTTGCTTTTTTCTTCGGCGAGCGAGTTTTAACGGATTAAGTTCCGGGGTAAATTTTGGAAGGCATATGGGTTTGTAGATACGACACTACCCAGAGATTTCGCCCTCATTTTGTGAGGGGACTTTATGATCTGAGTTATGGTTTCCTATAGGCGCAAGCTTCTATAGTTAATTACCCCTCCCGATAATGAGAGAGAAATTTTGATTAAGGCTAGTTCTCAATCAGATACGTATAAATATGTGTTATCTAGCATATAATAGCAGCAATGGGCTTGGATTTGGGAGTTTGAAAAGTTTGATATTTAAAATTTTGAAATTGCACCATCTTGCACTTAAAGCAGATGGTGGAGGAATTGATGATGTATTCGATCAAGATCCCATAGTTCCGTTATCCCAGGCCATCGTGGTCCCTGGTCTACTTAGTCAAAGGAGGCAGTCGACCCAACCTGACAGAAGGATCCTTGTCGGCATCCATGAGTTGCTTCGTCTAAGGGGGCCTTGTAGACCTGGGTTGGATATTTGCCTAAGGGGACAAATTTGAATCCACCTTAGCTAACAGAGGGCTTTGTGCCCTATCAATTATATCCTATTGATTCATATCTCAAGGATTTGATGCCACTAAGAAGAGTATTGGCTCTGGCCATAATCAGTTTTTCGTGCTTCCATTTGGCGGCAAAACCACTCAGTTCAGAGGGCCCCGGGTCATAACAGTTTATCCTGCGGTGTCATTTAGCGGCAAAACCGCCAGTTAGAGGACATGTACCACGTCCTTATTGGCATGAGATTGTTTGAGAATGGATCCTAGTGATATTTTCGACTAAGCATTAGCTCTATGTGAGCTGAAGTAAATTTTAACTTGTCCAGCTCGGCAAACTATTGCGGAGGGTGGATGGATTTTGCTTTTGGTGCTTTGAAGGATAATTTCATTTTTAAATATCTTTTTTGATTTTGATGATTTTGGGATTTTTGAATTTTTTATGGGTATTTGAATTTTGAGTGGAGCTTGGAAAGCATTTGAAAGTGTTTGTGAACCCCTCCGGTTGACATTTTAGTTCAACACGGTCATCATCGAGGTGTTTGGAGTTTTTTTGATTTAAAAATTGAAGCTTATCGACCCTATCAACTTATCGATAGGGGATCAGCTTTCGTAGGCTTTATGCCTTTGTTAGTGAATTATCATTGTTATAGGCTTTGAAGGCATAATATAAATGTATTAAGATAAATACACCGGTCGCCACAACCATGTATTTGTTTGATAGTTCGAACCCTGTCGACTACTACTGATTCGTATAGAAGGATTAGGTTCGAACCTGAATTCACTTATTGACCCGTGTAGCATCCCTAGATGTCATGTATGCACTAATAACACGCTCGTCAGGGCCCATGCAAGTGTTTAAGAATTTCATTGATTGGGCGTACCTCTTTGTGTACCTATGTATATACAAACTACGGTGCACGTGTGGGAGTACTTTGAAATATTTTAGTTGTGCAGGTAATTACCGCTGAGTACACAACATTTCACTTGAGAGCTTATATATGCCTTCTGTCCGGTAATATGAGTGTTGTGGATTCGGTGGGATATATCTGGATGTCAGGAGGCATCTCCTCATCTTAATGTTGACTCCCCTTTCTCATTCACCGGGAAGGGTCCTTCTTGAAATCCATGGCCACTATCTTGAAAGGGACTCTTTTTAAGATAATCAGTGTAGTAGAGTTGTTGTTTTTTATATTTGTAGATGAAAGCACTGTCTTCTTCTTAAGTGTAGGATCAAGAAGAAAGTTTGGAACACCAGAAAGTTTAGCTCGAATTTGCTCAAACACCTCATCCATTCCGCCAGGAGGTGTCCTTTTTAGTAAATCAAGTTGTCTTCGAACCGGACATATTTTGTAGCATCTCAATCACTGCTGTCGTAGATGATATCGATACTTATGTCCACAAGTGTTCGTTGTACTTACGATATACACATTGTTGTTATCCACAAGTAGCTCATGTTCATT